TGTCATTTTTCTTATTTTGGTACTGGATTTTCGAGTTGTCATTATAGTAAAATTTATAATTTACAATATGTTGTAATATTCCTAAAAATTTACGTCAAACTCCTAACAGAAATGCAACTGTAATATATATATATATATAAAAGAAATTTTTTTTTATTTTTTACAGTCAGCAAAATAATAAATTATAATCTATTAAATAAATTTTTTTAATTCAATGTAATTTTTTTTAGATTTACACAAAATAATAATAACAGATGGCATAGACGAATTCTATTGCAGAACAGTTTCACTTTAATCCTTGGTTTGATATTTGTAGCAATTTTATAATACCACCTTGGTTTATGACTTGTTTGAAAGATACTGCAAATTATTTTTAAATTGTATCATTTAATTTATAGATCATCATTTTAAAAAGTATTTATTAAATAAATATTTAAATAAGCAGTTATACAAATAAACCCTTAAACAACTTCAACCAAGCATGTCACGATTAGCTAATTAATCTATTTAGCAGCTTTACTGCCATAATATCTGAATCGGAACAATGATCGAATTAATAGGTTCAAATTTTAGTTACCACACTAATTATATATGCCCTTGACAGTATCCTATGCAGTGGATTGACCTTTGAAGGTGCTAGTTTTTGCGTGGCTGGTTTCCTTATTAGGCTGCTAACAACTCAATTACTTAGTAGGAATGTTCACTCCTTTCCAAAAGCAAGTATAGTTTGTGTTTTTGTGTCAAACCCACCAAGAGACCTCATTCTTCTTTTCTAGTAAGGTGGCATCCATGCGTGGTGGTCTCACTTTTATTCTTGGCTTGACTTTCAGACATCTCTTCCATCAAATTGTATAAATGTTACTTTCTTTGGTATAGAGGCTTATTAAATAGTAGAAGAATTAATAACCACTGGTTTCATTACTTTGCAATCTTCAACTAGGACTAACATCTATTAATTACATACAAGAGTTGCACTACCATCTACCATAATATTATTCAATTTCTTCTTCCTCATTATCATACCTTAAACAATCATCCAGTATACCTTATAAGAACTTGCTTAGCAATCACACTGTCCGTATACACATTATATGATTAATATTTCATTCAAAATTAATATGGTTCGTATCTTACATTTCCCATTTTTTTTATAATACATCTAGCATAATTTGTTATTGATTATAAAATACAAAGTTAGAAAAAAAACATAAAACTATCTGCATTATTTGTAAAGTTCGAAATTTGAGGTAAACTTTAATTACTTTTTACATGCCTATGATAGTAATCAATGATTATGTGTTATAAATCTGAGTCCTAATCCTTAAATATACATATAATTTTTAATGTCATGCTTTTTTTCTCTCTTTACAACAGACGATTTTACCATCATTTAACAATTATTTCTGTATTTTTAAAAACCTCAAATTCTTAATTATTAACAAGTGTTCTTTTATGTTAATATTTTTTTATATTAATACTTCATTTACATATACTATTGTAACGAGAAATCATCTATATTTTACCCAAAACTGGTTGGTCAATTATAGTGAAAGTGAATCATAAACTTAGACAAATTCTATAGGTAACATTAGGGATCAAATTTAGAATCTTCACTTTGAAAAAAATTATACACCTCAACATAAAAGTTAATCTTAGAATTTTATATATCTATGAAATACTTGCTTAAAGGCCAAAAACAGAAAAATAAAACGAATATCTATAGTTTGAAATTAATTCTTTTTAAATATTTTAACATTTTTCTTTCTGACATAAATTGAATTATTTATACTTTTATTTAAATTTAAAATATTCATACAATGCGCAGGAAGTAATTCATTATTCTTTGATAACCAATCAACACAACGCATTAACAAAGGACCACAGTAGAAATCAAAATCAAAGCCTTTTTTTGTCGATTCTTTAATTCTACCATCGGAGGTAACCCTAACGACTGCTGCTTAGATTTTAATCATCAAATCATTGGGCCCTACCAATAAACATTGATTTGGGAAAGTTGCCTAGGGTGTGAAAGAAACTTTAGGGCCATCTAATCAAATCATAGCAGAAAAAAGATAATACAATTAATGCAAGGAAGAACTTGCTCTCGTTAATCAATTAATTGTATTTGAACTCTAGCTAGCGGACAAGTTCCTCTCATAATGGACGAAGATGGGCATGCTTTCTGCTTTCTGTCAAAAGCTATACTTCAATAACAAATACAGCTTCAAGCAAAAAAATCCAAAAGAGGAACCAAACAATTCTATCTTGGTATCTAGTTACTTCACAGAACATAAACAACCTAGTCAAGTTCTGATGTTGGGGGGAAAAGCCAAGGGAATACTCCAACATGAAAAAAATCTGTATAGCCACCTAAGGTACTTGGGTACCCTCTTGTATATATGTAAAGTTTGCAGAGTAGTTTTTGTTACTTAATGTAATGCCCTAATGACTAGCATTTGTCCTTTCTTCTGGCCCACATATGTATGATATCATATACATGCCTGGTTGGAATTCACGAACTTCACATACTTTCAACACGAGGAGAAAATGCATCAATTATAGGCTTATTACCCATCGGAATTAGAAATGGATATTCAATACTTAGCACAAAATTAATTTCTGCGACAAATTACGGAAACCCTTTTTTTAGGCATCAAAGCTAAAATCTCACTATCAACGTCTTTGTTTTAATTTCCAGAGTTGGATTTATTTATTTATTCTTAAGAGTGCATACTTATATATTGTCCCTCTCAAAAAACCCACAAATGTACGCCTTTCTTCCTTTTATTTATTTTTTTAAAAAAGAAACAGCGATGCTTATAAAATAAATGAGTTGAAATTAAAGCTTGCAATTTCAACCACAAAAGTATTTTTGTTTCTTTTTCTTCATATGGTACAGACAGAAAAAAAGAAAAACAATCCCTATATATATATAGAAGCGAAATAAAAGCATTTTGAGAATATTTAACCTCGACTTTATAGAGGATAATTGTGCAATCGCAATCAAGCACTCGAACATATGTATGTACTACATAAATTCACCACTGCTTTGTTGTCATAGTTATCTCCTGCTTGAAAGCAACCCCAGAACAACCCTTTGCTTTGCCATATATCGTGTGGTCCTTGTAATTATGCCAGTCTAAAGTGGTCTTGATCGAGACTGCTTAGCTAGAGAGAGAGAGAGAGAGAGAGAGAGAGAGAGGGTTGGAGATATAAGTGGGGAGGACGGCATGTATAAATAGAAAGACAGATAAAGAGAGAGAGAAAAAAAAAAAAAACAGAAAAATTTGGTGTACTATAGAGCGCTTTCAAGTGTGGATGGACTATTGCCATTTTGACAAGAAGTTGAGAGAGATCATGGGGTGTTTTTGAATCTATGGCAAGTTGCAATTGGTTATTAGGGCTTGGAAGGTGTCATACTCTATACATATATGCCAGTGGCAAGTACAAGCACAAGTGCACAATTGCACAAGCATTTCTATCCTGCTTCCTTTCTTTCTTCATAGAGAGGTAGACAGATAGAGAGAGAGAGAGAGAACCTACTTAGCTATATATGTCAAACCAAGCAGAACCGATAAGCACGCAGCACGCATGGGAAGGAGAACCAACAACAACATTCTCTAATAGACTCTGATATCGATAGATAGATACATACATTGACATCTACCACAACACAATGAGAGATAGAGATAGAGATAGATAGAGAGATAGAGAGAGAGTGAGTGATATATAGCGCATCTCTTTTTGGTGAAAGTGACTACCTGAGCAACCCCAGTCAAAGGGAGCATTGGCTACCATTGCAAGCCCGTTGGATGGAAATAATTGTACTTTGTTTCCACCATTATCTACTTTTAGGGCTAGAGACATACTGACACGTGGAGGTTTACAACAGTGAATCAAAATTATAGTTAAAAAAGACAAAGGGAATAACAAGAAGAAATGAAATTATTTGAGTTATGTGAATCTTCCCATAAAAAGTCACGGCATGTGACATCCCACTCCTACGCACCACACTTTGTGGGACAAAGGAAGAACCCAAATAGTAAATTTAATTAAATGCTTATTCAATATGCGAAAATTTGTTCATAACAAAAAGTACTTATTTTAACAAAATTGTTTTATGAAACCTATTTAAAAATTAAAAACAATTCTCATAAATTTTATAAAAACTGTGCTAAGTAACAGTCCCTATGTGAGATTGGTAGGGAGTAGCAAATTAAAGGTGTGAGGAGTGGGGGAAAGTGAGGGAGGGAAAGGAAGTTGGTTTTAGTTTTCTGTCAACTCGCATCTGTGCTGTGCGCACCACGTGAAGTGGCACAAATTATAACTTTTCCTATCCACTCACTTCTCTCAAATTTATCGTTCTAAAGAGATCATAACTTTTTGCTCAAAAGAAACGATTAAGAAAAAGGATGCCCCTTGTCTACAATAAATTGCTCTTGTTGGGTCCTTTGTCTCTCACATTATCTCTACTCTAGTACTCACTCACTCACTACTAGCTCTTCTTCTCCCTCTCTCATAATTCAACCCTCATGCTTATAAGGTATTATTGTCCATGTGCTGTCATTCTCAAACTGTGGTACTTTGCTTGAGGAAGCCAATTGTACTATGCTACCACTCTCTCACACACACACGCACCCCTCCACACACACACACGAACACAAACATACGGTGGTGCATCATATCCGTAGCCGTGTCCCTCTCACTCACTCACTCACTCACTCACCTTTAGGTAAAAAAAACAGTATTAATTATTTAGATAGGGGTGTCTTTCTCAAATTATGTCTTCCTTTACTTGTTGCAGGAAACAGGCAAAACAAAAAAATGAAGGGATGGATGGAAAATGATGGATTTAATAGCTGCTATCTTTCTTTTTCAATAGGAGAGTGAACATGTCGTTCTCAGGTTTTGGAAGGCCCAACCAATAACCAGGTGCATCTTATTGAAGGCTAGGGTTATTTGGTGCAGTCTCAGCTAATCTTATTATTCATATTCCAGAGATGTATTCCTCAAATACCTCCCTCAACGGCAATGACCTAATCTCGTACCCTAACCAACCATTTTGCTTTAGGCCTTTTTCCTTTGAAAGCAACCCAACTTATAATTCTTCAAAAGAGGAAACCAATTCCAATTACGCCCTCCCTCCTCCTCCTTTGTCCTTTTTTCAATTCCCCTTTGAAGACAATATCTTCCTCGAACAACACCATGACTTGTTACTTCACCACCACCAATCTCTAGCAGACCCTCCACTTGTTAACATGGAGCTTCCACCAATTATTCCTTGTGCACAAGGCACCACCACCACAATGATGGATCACACACCTAGAAAGAGATCCAGCAAGAGAGATCGCCACAGTAAAATCAACACCGCACGAGGACTCAGGGATCGAAGAATGAGGTTGTCCCTTGAAGTTGCCAAGAGCTTTTTTGGCTTGCAAGACATGCTAGGCTTTGACAAAGCCAGCAAAACTGTGGAGTGGTTACTGAACCAAGCCAAAGTTGAAATCAAACAACTTGTTAGAGAGAAGAGTGGTGGTGGTGCTGCCAAGAGTGCATCCTCAACTTCGGAATGTGAAGGGGTGTCAAGCTTGGACGAGGTCGTGGTAAGTGGAGTTAACCAAGAACAAGAGAGGGAGCCACACGTGAAGAGAAGAACGAGTAAGCTTTGTAGAAAAAGTGCATTCAATCCTATTGGTAAGGAATCGAGGGAAAAGGCAAGAGAAAGGGCAAGAGAACGTACAAGAGAAAAGATGAGGACTCGGAACCTGAACCGTTTGAGTTCATGGAATCCCTTTGAAACGGTAGAAGAATCTGCAGGTACTCAGAGCCAAAGCGTGAATCATCCCTCCTTGGATGTTCAACTTGCTGAGGCCGAAGAACCAAGTTCTCACGCGAAAGAGCATTTGGGAACCGTAGAGGACATGGCGCACGAAGATAATTCTTTGGTGATCATGAGCAAGTGGAGCCCAACTGTGATGTTCAATTCTCTCAATAACCCAGCAATCCTTCAAGAGGTAAGTTCAAATTAGCGATACAGATCAAGAAATTAAAAATAAGATTTTATTAAAAAATTTTGCTAACATATTTCATCGTAATTTTTAATATAAACATTTTGTTTATTTAATTGTTAGTAAGGTGCTTAAGTTATATGCATGCTTGGTCTAACAATTAGTATGTTTTATGTGTCAATGACAACCATGCATGTTCTATGTTTATGGAGTGCATATATATATGCAAGATCGATCAACTTTATCGGTAATGTTTCTGATGATCATTCATCCTTTCATGAAATTGTTTGCAGCATCAATATGCAGAATTTCAGTCCTTGGGAAAATCTTGGGAGGCCTACAACAATCACATCTAATATCTATGCTCAATTGCTCATCAATTGCACCCCCATCATCTTTTTATGTGTCAGCAGAATAAAATACAATCATGCTATGTATTTCTTTACTTTCCTTTTGGCATGTAATGTGGTAAGGTATCTTCCATCTATTGGCATATGGGTGGGAAACAATATTTCGTGAATAGTTGTATGTCATCTCCATAAACTGTTATCTCTTTCTTGTTTCTGCTCTCTGACCTCCATATTTATTAAAAATTCATTAATGTCTCGTAATTGTCTTAATTAAGAATATAATTAATTGAATCCTTTTCCCAACTCTGGTTGGATGTGTGTTAACTTTACCAGTTTTAACATTTTAGCTTTGGCATGTTTCAATTTATGCAGTTATTGCCGCCATATCCATTCACACAATAGTCTTGTTGATGCTACTTGACATATTTTCTTGTTGTGGTTGTTTTTTTTCAAAATCCAATCATCCCTTGAAAAGTGTTAGGGTTACCTCTCAGATGTATGTATGTTTCTAATTGTTTGTGGATAGCTTCATAAATCCTAAGTGTATTCCAATTTGTGAATTCAGTATAGCTTTATAGACGTGACTGAATTGACACTTGGGTGATGATCCACTATAAATCCACTTCCAGTACATGTATGATTAGCTTATCCGTTTGAATGTTCGACATAATTATATATTTAGCCTGATTATAACACCGGATTTAAGAAGACAAATAAAGACGAAGCTAAACACGTAAAGGAATGTTAATTGAGACAAAAATATAAAATAAATTTAAAATATCTAGTTTTGAAAATTGGCAGATAGTAAAATTAGAAGGCTTGGATGAAAAAAACAGTTCCAACAGAGAAAAATTAAAAAATATATATTTTGGGAGAATTTATTTACGAAGTCTCAAAAATAGATTCCATACATATTTACGAAGTCTTAAAATATCAAGTTCGTATATTTTATAGCAAGAAACGCTATTTCGATGATTTGTCAAAGGTTAAGAGATCATTAAAGTAATTTGTCTCTTCTAATAATTTTTTATATGCATGATTAATAATCAAATTCTAGCATATTTAAGAGAATCAGTTGTATCGATCGAATTTTGTTGATACTTCAGTAAACTATATAAATCATCTTGTGCCAGAATGTAGGGCTTTTAATTACTAATTATAAGTTGTTTTGTATGATCAATAAATAGGGATTAGTTGACTCCAATGACATATTCGTCCATGAACACAAGAAATTCATATGCTTGTAAGCGACAATTATGTGCAATAGAGGTGATTACATAAATTGTTTGGTACGTTTGTCGTGTATTTTTTTTTCACATACATCTTTCCATAGTTTTCTTAATTATTTCCATTTATCTAATTTTTATGTTTAAACAAGGGGTGTTCTCAAGCTTGTGTTTTAAAAGAATATGATGTTTGATTATGCTTTCAAAAACGATCTATATATGTGTGGCTTAATTGCTTTTTCTTTCTTTCTTTTTTTATTTGAGGGTTATGGGAGGGGTTAGGAGAATCGTTTCGTTTTAGCTTGTGAGAAAGAAGTAGATATGAATAAGTTGGAGATCATGAACAGAGTAGAAGGAGAAGAAAACTTCACGAGTTATAGATGAATAAACAAATATAAAACATTTTGCTGCCATTAGGGGGGGGGGGGTGTTTGAGCAAATAAATAAATAAATATACAATAGCAAACTTTCCTACTCATTATATCTGATACTTATTGGATTGATTACTTATGTTTATTTCATTAATTATTACAAGTATAATTTAAAATTATAAAAAATAAGGTTGGTAAAGATAATTTGTAAGGGAATTATCAAATACAAACATAATATATAAAAGAAACGATAGAAATATAATTTACCACAAAATAAATGTCAGTATAATAGGAGCAAAATATAGAGGAAGGTTATGCTAATTACCCTTTTACCCCCATTGGAAATTTTATGTCAGATGTAATCATACTAAATCAGTTCTTTAGTCATTTCATCAAATTCAGAAAATACTACCACGCACTTGACATTATTTTACAAAAAGAGCTTTAAAGAAATGACAGATTTTGCTTTTCTATATGGTGTTTCCTCTATGGGTGGAGAAATGATCAAATTTAAAAATACCCATCAAACGCTTAAATTTAATCCACAAAATTTTGAACCACAACTGTTAGCAGGGATACGCAATAATGAGTATGTCTAGTATGGTACGATAATATTTTGGAAAACAAAAATAGTACGATAATATTTGTGTTTATACCATTGTTTCAGAAGATAATTTAGACGTAGATTTAAATTGGCGCAAATAATAATTTAAGTATTCATTCAGAAAAATTCAATGAAGATTTGTAAATTCAAAGCTATTATTTGCATTCCAATTAAATAAATAATAATGCTCCATTTCAATTATGTCCTTTTTGAACAAACTAATAAAACAAGACACTGTGTCCATTCAGAATAATAAATAGTGATAAAAAAGAAAATGTTATTTTTAAGTATATCATTTAAGTTAATTTTAAAAACATAAAAAAAAAAATTCACCTCTTTATTAACAACAGACATTCCTCACTACAGAAAAAAAAAATTACTAACAAATTTTTTCTTTATTTAGCTTTTGTCAGTATAGTTTTTTAATTATGATAAAATTTAAGTAACGAAATGAAAAAAATATAAACATTAAACGTCTATATTGACAACAAAATATATATTTTTAACAACATTACATACATATAGTATATTTCAAAACATATACTAATAAAGTTATTTATTAATATAATGTATCATATTATTAACATAGTTTGGGTGTGTTACATAACATGGACCTATTCCGGAGGCTGGTCTTAATATTCCATTCCGTGCGGTCAAAAGTGAACAGTGAAGAAAGGAAAAGATAAGGAGAATGAGATTGCATTCTACAGAAACACAAGTCCTTAATACAGCAGTAAAGAGAAAGAATGCAAAGAGTTACTGTTTTGGTTCAGAATATCAGCTGCAGTGCCACTCCTACTGGTGTGTGTGCCTTTGTTTCTTTCTATCAGTGAGAGAAGGAATCTAAAAAGTTTCAATTATTAGTTCAGTTTCCTAACGGAAATTTTGTTGGATAAACCTCTAATTTACACACAGAAAAAAACCTACCTTCTTCCTGGGTTTTAATTTTCAAATGAGATTTTACCATTTATATAAAGTTTCTGAATTGGAAAATTTTGGGAGCAACCTGCACTAATACCTAACTATAGAAGTTGTTTAGTTGTAAAAAGATGAATCCAGCTTTAAGAGTTTGAATTATAATTTTTAGAATAATTTCCCTGACACCCAAAATTATGTAAGCATCAGAAAAGATCTAGAAAATCATAAACAATTATACTTACCAAGTTCTTTTTATAAATTTAATCTACTCAACATTGCATGAAATAACATAAACGATTAATACATTATTATTCCTCGATATTAATTGATTCAAAAAAATCTTTACTGGGTTTATTTGTTTTTTAGTGTCATTTATTTTTTACATATAATAAATATTTATGCTTCTCTATGTAACATCTATTTTATAAAATAATAAGAAGCTTGTTACAAAGATTTGTAAAAAATAAAACACAACTCAAAATGATAAGAAAAATGTTTTCTATTTAATACAAAAACTGGAATAAATTTTTTCTCAAAAATAATTTTTTTAATTTCTCTTTAAAAAATCAATAACATGGAATGATTATTTCTTTACAATAATTTAAACCAAATATCCATAAAGGAATATTCCAGATTAAATTCTTTCTTCTTCTCAATCATCGGGATTCTTTGCTGCAGAGACCCCGTGTTTCAGAAATAAATATAAAAGAGAAAATTTTCAGCCCTAATATATTCTTTCAAATCTGTTTTCTTATAATTTCCTGTTCCTTTCTCCCTCTCAATCATGAATTCCAGGAAAATCAATGCAAAGCTTAACCAGAAACAGGGAAACTTCAAAAAAGATAACATAAGCATGTAAATACCCTAACAAAACCAGGATGAAATCCAGAAACCCACCCAAAAGATGATAAAACCAAAACCTGAACGGTTGAATACATTACTGTGAATTGGTGCTAAATCCAAAAATCATCATGTGAATAAACTCACAAATAAATGTGCAAAATCTATTTTTTTTTTATTTAGAAAAGAAAATCAAGAAGAAACAAGAACAAGATCAGAAAGGAGGCCCTAAACACTAGAGTACCATGCTGGGTCTCTTCCACATATAGTAAATTAGTAATTTAAATTTTTTGGCTAGATCCAAATACTCATTAATTTTTAGCAGCAAAGCTATAGAAGAAGAAAATGAAATATAATCCTAGAAACAAAAACAGCCAGCCCAGATATACACCTATGTGCATCTGCAGCTACAGAAATTACCCAGATGTTCAAAAAGTTATCTTTAGCTGCGAGGAATCAAAGGAATCAACTTTTTCAGTAAACAAAAATGGTGTCCAACACCCTAAATGTGAAACCCATTTTGGGCTTTAATTTCTCTGTACTTTATCACTAGATAATTACAGAAGAAAGAAAGAACATATATGTGACATATATAACCAAAGGAAGAGAATTAGCATATACCCGGATCGAGAAATGAGATAGATATAATAGCAAATCCTATAAAATACATATGCAGATATGGTTAGGCAGAGCGGGTTGTTCTGAGTTCTGACTCATATGTTACAAAGTCTGAGAAGCCCTAGCTAGGTAGGAAAGATAAGTTGAACAGTGAGTGGCATAGCATTCACGCCTGAGAAGCCCTAATGGCTATGGATAACGGAAAAGACTGGCATGTCTATGAATGATTGACCATTTGACCCTACTATTGTGAGCTTGCTCAAATGGAAAACACCAAACCGAGGGTGGCTGTTCTCAAATAGCAACACTTAGTGCCGTCCTTGTTTGATAGAAAATGACATTAATTTCTCTTCCATCACATGTATATGCTATAATTCTATTCTATCTGGAAATTTTTAGCATGATAGAATTAAAGATAAAATACACTAT